AGGACTTTTTGACAAGTATAGGTCTCTGATAAATTTTAGATCTTATCACTGATCTGGGTAAGAAATTAAAGAACCCTAATGGAAAACCTGATAGTTTTATAAAAAAGTTAACAAAAGGACTGGTTACTATGTGAACTGGTGAATATGGTATAAATTGTATGGCTTTTGTCTGGAATGGTTTTGATCTGTATTTTCCAGGTTTAGGAAAGCCCTTCCCTCAAATTAATGTTGACATAGCAATTTGGTAAACTACACCCATGCGTAGAGTTGAAGCATTTTCCTTTTCTCTCTGCCTGGGCCCTCCAAAAACTGGAGACTCTTGGGTTCCAAGCAGCCTTATCAAGGAAATGGGAAAGACTTGTCTCCTGACATGTGCAGGAACCTCAATATTCTGGGGACCTCCAGAAGAGAGAAATCCATCAAGGTGAAGCCTGATGGCAGGCCTTTGGCATGGCTTTCCTGGCCTTGAGAGGCCTTTTGGGAATTCAATCTGTGACTCCTTCTGAGGAGTTCCACCACAGCCAGTTTGGAAAAGCTTATATGGTCAATTGACCAGACATTTTGCAAACAAATTTGTCTTGATTTGGCCATGTTTGGTGGAGATGAGGGTAATTTTAGGGAGAAAAATATGATATTTCAGTAGCCGTTAAATTCTCCTTCTGCTAATTAAGGTCTGTATTTATGAAAATTATTGTGTTAGCCTTGACGTTCAGGATGGAAAAAATTCTTAATGGAGTTGTCATAGAGTATAACTACTTATAATGTATAACACTGCTTGGTTTAAGTCTGTTACTAAAAGCACATGTACAATGCTTGTATAACAACTGATATATGTGTATAGCCTCTAAAATGTATATACGTGTAATTGGTAACATGTATAGCCTTTAAAATGTTTCCCAGGCAACATACCTCTGAACCTGTTGACAATATCTGATTAGTTTTCCCCCAACATGGATAACTAGGCAAATATAAAGGAGGCTTAGCACCAAGGGACATGATCTGGACCTAGGGCAGACAACTGAACCACCCCAGCTTCAAGAGACAAATATTTTGATCATCAGTGCTTTCTATTGAAAGGTTTGCAATCAAAAGGGGAAATGATGGGAAAAATCTGTACAACTGAGGTATGGGGAAGTCATTCTAGCTTATACAAGGTTTAACTTAAATTTTACTGAACAGAGAGGCCTGTTCTGTGGTCTACTGAACATGCATGGTACATCTGCTTTGGCCTTGAGGAGGGGAATGCATTTGAAAATCAAAACGGAGTAGCTGTGGTTCAGACATCCCAGGTAAAACTAGGGGTCCACTGTAAATGTGACTTTAGACGTGTTCCTGTATGACTGAAAACTTGAGTTTTCCAAACTGTATTACAGACCAGGACAAAAACCACAAGTGGCTGTGGTATTATCTCAGAATGCTGCTACTACTTGTGTTTTGCTTCATTGTCATGATTGCCCCTGTACGGTGCCTTTTAGATGTCTTACATTTTACCTCTAGCCTGAGCAGAGGACGTCTGTTCAAGGATTGAGCAGCAATACTGGCCTCACTGAGAAATGAGTGTCATTTCTGGGTCTATAGTGAGATGCCATCGTTTCTCCTCCGGGCCTCATGAAAAATTGACCTGGCGAATGTGACTACGTGGGGACGACTGACAATGAGGGGGAAGGACTCTCACCACCTTCCTGTCCCACATGCCAGTACATCAGAAGGACCCCCGTGGGTAAACTTTACTGCCCATGAGCCCCCTGGGCTATGCTGTGTGGAATAGAACAGGCTGGCTTCTGGACACACAAGTGCAACTAGTGAATTAACTGGATTTTTGTTTGAAAAGACCTAGTGGGTCCACCTCTGATGGTGCTCAACATAACATGGGGTGGCAGACCTGTACTGTGACTGCTGGTTCCTGGCTGGACCAACAGAATGTTTCCCTTACAGCCAGGCCTTCCCCTCCCCATGGGGGTGGCTCTGGGACTGTAAAAACCAGTGGTGGCCTTACCTTCCTTATAACTGGACAGGATGCTGCCATGACTGACTACCTTTCCATTGACCCAGTAAGCTGCTGGCTCAAATTTACCCACATCCTGGCAAATGACTGTTCTCAGCATACTACGTATCTTACTCTTGATACCCCTTGGTTGCTGTTGTCTGTACTGTATTTGTGTGCTTGGCTGCAATGTCCCTCTTCATACCTGACCCCAGGAATTTTGCAGAAGAGGGGTGGACTAAGATGTTATGGGTATTGCTAAGTACGTAGGGGTGGAGAGTATGGTCAGGCCAATCAAATGGTTGTTCCTTTGACCTCTGTACATCCCCTGCTCGACCAGTGCCTGCTTCACCTACACCCTATTCACAGGACTGAACTTCCTACTTCCTTGCCCCTGCCCCAGCTGGGTGGTGAGGGGGCGTGACCCTCTGCTGGTTTCCCTGGTAAGCAATGAGCCAACCTGATGTCAATTCTCCCTACAACTGCTACCCTCCCCCTGACACCAAGAGCAAAGACTGCTGCCATGTTTTGCCTTACATCCCCCATGCACAGTGGGGTGTCACTCCAGGACCTTGCTTTAGACATGTAAGATCACCCGACCATTAAACCATTGATGTCTCTGTCGCCGACTGCAGGCTCTTTCTTCAGTCTTGAAGCTGGGCAAGTACAGGCCTTGCAGGCCTGCGGGGGGAAGGCAACACCAGGCCCAGCCTACACATCCTTCCTGCTAGCTTCCCAACTCATCTCCCAAGGGCGGGATCAGTCCTCTTCTAGTTCCCAAAGCCAATCTGGACTTGGGGCCAGATGTGCTCAGATGACTCCAACTGCGTATCTGTCTGCCAGTCTACTTCTGACCTATTGCCCAGGTCTCGATGTCTAGGCTTCTGCTTGCTCCTATCCAATTCCTTGCCCCACTGACCTGGTTTCTACTTTTCCCTGGCTTCCTTGTCATTCTGCCATACACACGCCATACACACCTGACAAGAAACCCACTTGGTTCCTCTGTAGTCAAAAATTACAATGGCAGCCTGGCACATAATTGTTTCCCAAAAAAGGCTATGCCTATGTTATCCATTCTGTCCTTTACTATGCCTGAATGATCCAAGCGAAGAGACTGCTGACCTACCAGATTCTTTCCTGGGAACTTTGAGAATTTAACCAGAGACAGAAAGTGGTGAGAGCTGAGTCATCTCTGGCAATGTTCAGGAGAGAAACCCACAAGCTGTCTTCCATCTAAAGACCCTGTTACTCCCCTTCCTGAGACCTGGCTGTCTAGCTCTGCCTTCGGTCGTAAGCTTCCAAAATAAATCTAATTTTTGCTTAAGTGATAGAAGATCTGTTTCTGGTTCTTGCATCCATATGAACCTTAAATGGTACAGATCTCAACTGTTGACTGCTTATCTGAACTCAGTGTGTCATGCTCCTCGTTCAGAACCTCTCTTCCAATCAACTCACCTAACCAAGCCAACTCTTAAAGCATAATAACACATACTGATATTTAACATTGATATTTGTCCCAGGTTCTCCATAGGATAATTTTTGGAACTTTTCCCAGTAATATTGGAATTTGGTCGTATTTATTTATTTGCCCATATATCTGTCCATCCATCCATCTGCATTGAGCATCTACTGCACACTAGGCACTGTCTATGGTCCTATGGTTGCAGAAATTTAGCAGGCAGCATTCCTGCTTTTCAACATTATAGACCAGCGAAGGTAACTGCCACCCCTATAAATAACCTCAGTACAATGGGCTGAGAGCTATAATGGGGGTACCAATATGAAGCAGTGAGAGCACTGACGTGGGAACAAATGACAATCTTCAGAGAGAGGATCAGGAAGTTTCCACAGAGTAGCTAATGTCTAAAGGGAGTTTGGGAGAATAAAGATGAATTCACAAAGGGAAGAATGGTAGTAATGTTTTAAGAAAACACTACAAGAATGATAATTTGTTAACTATTCAACCCTGCAACCTTGTTTCTGGGATTCATCCTACAGATGTATTGGTACATGTAACAGATGACTTGAGTATAAGATTTAACCATTGCAGCAGTGTTTGTAAGAGACTGGAAAAAATCCACATGTAAATTAATTAGCACTGATTAAAAAAATATGGTATATTCGCTTGATAGAAGACTATGCAACTATAAAAAAGAATGAGGAAGCTATTTACCAATAGGAAAGATCTCTGACATACAATGCTAAGTGAAAAAGCAATGTTTAGAACAATATTCCCTTTTGTTTTAAATGGGATAAAATGAGAATATATATGTTCATATTTGTCCACATGTATATTAAAAAGCTATACAAGTTGTGTACATCTGACAAAAGTGGTAACCACTGGGTGTGGGGCAGTGAGACCTGAAAAGGTAGTGAAACACGTGAGAGTGAGACTTTATACTGAACGTTTTAAAAAATTTTTGAACTATTTGAAAATACTATCTATTCAAAAATATAAATAAATTTTCAAAGAATGCATTGCAAGGAAATAACCAAAGTTAGACACAGGGCTCAGAAGACAACACAGTTTTTTGTTTTTGTTTTAATTGCTCTGAGTCAGAAACCAGCTGGCAAAAGAAAGCAAGGAAAGAATATTTCGCTTCACCTCCCTCTGATGTGGGTGGTAATACTCTAACAGCTAACTGTTCACAGCAACTGCATGATGTGAGAATAGACACTTTAGAAACACAAACGTGAGTACAGATTTATGACTTGTGTGAATGCAAAATGTTGTGGACAGGAAAACCTACCGCACAGATTTGGAAGCAGAACTTTTATTCCTTCTTCTGTGGGTGTATTCATTCAATTTAGACAACATTCCTTCTGCCTTATTCCTGAAAGGATGTGAATGAAGTCTTTTCATTTAAGACACTTCGGGGAAGGGGGTCGAGGAGGGAACAAATAAAACTGCACACCCCACAGTCATCTTTCAATATAAAAATCCACTGATATTTTGAATTTTAGAAACCTCCCTTGTGGAGAATATAAGATACAAGGCTGAAAAGTTTTGACTTACCCCAGGCAATGGGCCAGTGAATGTCGTTGGACAGGCCTTTTAATTTTTTGTCCCATTCTTTCAAGACTGAATGTCCTCCTCTTTAAATGAAAAAGAACAATAATCCTTCTTAGACATTTCATACCATCTGATTATTATAAAATTCATCCAGATGCTCAAAGGAAAGAAGGTATAATTAAGTAAAATCAGTGTCTTTCAAATTAGTGTCTTCTGACATTTACCATTACCTGAGGGTTAGGTCCTCAAGGCATTAGTTGCAAAAATTTTGTTTTCAATTTACCAAAGGACGACCAGATTCAAGAGGATTGGGTCATTCTACCAAAACTCAGAAGAGTCTTGGTCTTTGTAGACAGCTATCGTTTCTCTCTGCCAATTATTACCTTCCTTCCTTTGGGGTACTGTACTTCTCCCTTCCACTTGCCAACTCTGATTTTCATCCTGGTGGAGCTGTCAAATCACAGTATTTAATCCTGTCGCCACAGGGTGATCTAAATCCAGCCAAATGTAGTAGCTCATTCCTCTCACCACAGCCATTGGTTAAAAGGCATGGGGGAATGGACACTACCTGGTGGACATGTGTTCTAAGCTGGTTTAATCATCCTCTTGAGTAGAAATGATACATGCACATTATAAAATTTGGAAGTTTCCTCAAAAAATTTTAGAAGCCATTTTAGGTTATTGGTATTGAATGATTAAAAATTTTTAGTGCTATAATTTTGATTTTCAATTAAAAAAAGGAAATAAACATAGGGCAGTTAAACTTTTGAGATAATGATGTACACAGGACAATTCATCAAATTAGGACAGAACAGTACAGACTAGAGTGGGAAAGACTTCACAGAACGGAGTGATTTTAGTTGACCCTTAA